CCCCCCCCTAGATCATACAACGTGTTTCTTTCAACTATGTTCCCATTTCTTAATGCTGTTTCACATTGGCTAAACTCGGTGGAAATGAGGTTCATCATTACCGTTCGCTGTTTGTATCCACCCAGGACAAAACGCCTACCAGCGCAGTGTGGGGATCGGCAAAAAGAACCTTCTAGAGTGGTGCCAAGAAGAATTGGGAGCCGCTTTTGACCACAGAAACACTCTCACTTTCAAGTACGAACATTGGAATTGAGATAACTATCCCTCCCCCAGAATTACTCTCTTTTAAGTAAAGGTTTCGTTTAGATCTATATGCACATATTAGTTTTACTGCATTGAAATCTAACTGCAGTTATTTGTTAATGGCGACTAACTGTTCTCCTTTCCGTCTTCCTATCGAGCTGCTTGATCTTCACTCTCCTCTTACTCGGACGAGGAGGACAGGACAATGAAAGTTTAATGTGGCTGGCTATTACTTGTGTGTTGTATAATTTTTTTAGTTTTACATTTTGAACAATATTTTCCTTGTCCACCCCCCCCCCTACAAGTGTCATCCCTCTAATTTTGGTTTTACTTTATTTGGCTAAACCCATCTTTGAGGACAAACATACACACAACGTTCACATTTTTTTCTCTCCCTCATGATATCCTATTCCCACTTTGTTTGGATAAAAGGAGCTGGCCAGTGATGGAATTTTAATTTGATTACATTTCAAGTTCATCTTCAGCTGTTTGTTTTCAGTTTGTTTACAAAGTTTTGTCTAATTTGACATGAAGCTGATTTTCCCTTAATACTCATGCTAAAAATTGTAAGCCAATTCTCTTTTCAGTCTTTGCAATGGCGACTGGTTTGTCAAGCTGCTAGAAAAAGTGGCCGGATGCAGCATGACCAAATCTGAGGTAATGACAATAACGATAATAAATCTCTTCCAAACACAGTTTTTGAATCTAGCACTCGGTCGCTCAGTTTGCTTTGCAGTAAGATTTTGTCACCCGATTCTTCTATCTTCTCACCTCTTCAGTTATGTCAAAGTGCATGACTAACCATGTAGAGTTTTTTTTCTCTCATTCTCTGTCTGTCTGTCTGTCTGTCTGTCTGTCTGTCGGTCTGTCGGTCTGTCGGTCGGTCGGTCGGTCGGTCGGTC